TTGTATATTCCGGAATAAAGCATGCATAAATGTTTATTTATTTATTATACGTAATATTTTTACCATTAATGATTTCTGTATAGATAAAAATGCAACGCAAATGTATAATGATGATGTTATGGTTAGAAAAGAAAATTTCCAGCTCATTATGTCACGTTATGTCGAAGGTTCGATAACGTATGGTTTTGCAAAATGTGATCGAATTTTTACGCACCTTCAAATCGACTAGTCAATGCGCAAATACCAGTAAGGTATGTACCATAGCGATAGTGTTCTATTTTAGTAAGGCGCAAGATTCAATAAACGGTCAATACAGTTATTCAAGGTAGCATAGGGTTTCGAATCAAAACACGGCATTTGACATTTTATAATTTTGATGTGCGAGTTTACACCCATCCGAAAAGTTTTGCATTTGCAATAGATAAATTTTGTATGAGAAATGAACTACGACAAAAATGGTAGATTCCCTGATAATGTTGCAAAAATTCAAATTCGAAACCATGTGCATGCATTAAGAAACTTGATGTGTATAAAACGTATTTGTTAAATGTATTTATTTTGTTCATCTTATTTTAGAAAAATAACTTACGTTAGAACATGGACTGGTAAAGATCTGCTCTGATCATGAGACCAATGAATATAAATATATTATTTCTAGAATTTATAAAGGAAAAAAAAAATGAATACACCAGGATCTGTACTTCTTGGATGGTATGTATGTAGTTTCGAATGATTTATTTTATTACAATTATTAATTTTTCGATTAACTACGAATCCGATTATAAATTTTATAATTAAATGAAGGGTTGTATTAATCGCTGGTAAGTTATAGCATGTGCTGTAATTTTAATTCAAATAATTTATTTAACATGAAATTGGATTATTTATATTAAGCTGGCGGGGGTGCGTTTTATTACGCCAAAAAGGATATTAACGCTAGAAGACGGGCTCAAGAACTTTCTAGGACTAGGCCACCAGAAAAATTAGAATGTAGGTTTTTTTAAATATAATTTTTTGAGACAAGTTTTGCCGAATTTTATCAACAAAAAATTTTTAAAAAAAATTATAAGGGTGGCAAAAAGTTGAATTGGACGAGAAGGCAAAAAATTCAAGTGATGAGGCATCTGGTTCTGGATTTACAAATAGTGGTTCAAGTAACGGCAATGGATAGGGTTACGACCTTTTGAATGATGATATTATTACTTGGAAATCGGGACTTCTGAACTCAGAAACCGGTGAAAGTTTTTACATCCAAAATAAAATTTTGAATTATAAATTTTTAACTGTTTGAGAAATATTGATATTTTTAGAAAAGTAAACCTTAATAAATTGGGTTTTTATTATAGTTATAGTATTTTTTATTTATAAATTTATAAATGAATTACGATTTCTTGAACTATATATAATTATATAGAAAGTTATTTGCAAATTAAACTAAGATATAGCATTTTATTAAATTAACACAAAAATTTATAAAAGCAAAATTAATAATTTTAAATAGATACGAGCTGTAAGCCCATTGCTTTGCAATAAACAAATATATATAGTTAAACTTCTCTATAATCATATTTTTTAAATAAGTATATTACATCATGAAATTTGTTGAAATATTTGTTATGTATTTACAAAATATTTGTTTAATATTTAATAAATACTTATTGAATATAAGGTATGTTGGAAATGTAATTACAAATACTTATTTAAAATACTTTTTTTTTTTTTGGTATTAAGGTGACCTCTTGGTCACGTTGTGCTTTTATTGTTATAGAAAAGTTATTATACATATTTGGAGAGTATATTTAGTCATACCTGCATCTTTTGAATACTTATTTAAATAGTCTGTCTATTTCTAGGTTCTATACTATTTGTTATACCTGCAACCCAACTAGGGGTTACTCATTTAAACCCTCTGTGTTTATATATTCCAAGGTCTATATCAATCAGCACTATTTTTCCAGTTTTAGGAATCAGTCTCACTGGTATGCATCTCACATACTAACTTAGATCTACTTTATCTAGTGATGTGAGTTGGTAGCTACTGGTAGCTGTCTATCACTAGTAGTTATCGGTAGATACTAGTAGCTACCATGAGGTTAATGATATATAATAATAGATGGTATATTGATGATATAGCAGCTTATTAAATCTGATTGGTTGATTATGATTTGTACTATATATCATATGACTAGAAAAAAAGTAGATAGAAGAATTAGCAATCAGAATGAAAGCCTGCTATACTATCACCTTCTAATATATACCAGTAGAAAACAAAGTAATTTGGAAGAACTCACATCACTAGTTATGTATAGTGTTTAAACACATATAATTTGATATAATAAAAAATGTTCAAATTGTTTTGTTTATTGATCAATCAAAATCTAATTAGTAGATCTACTGGTAGTAGTAGCTATCAGTAACTACTATCTACCAGTAGCTACCGGTAGAATTATTACAATTTGGAAAAATTTACATTATTAACTTTATCCTCAAGATAAATCTAATAGAGCTCACAATATTCCTACTTTATATCATATCTAGCCTGTACTTCAGTTTGGTACACACAAATTGTGGACCACCACTTGCAGCTTAGTTTTACCCATTCTAAAAGTATGTATGATGCTGAGTCAAGGTTTTTGCCTATGATTTTTTCTCTTAGTTTAAACTTTTTCCTGTTTTCTATCTACAATTTAACCCCAGTTTGGTTGAACTCTGCTATTCAAATCTATTTCTACTCTTGTAAAGTTTATCTAAACCTGAGAAGTTACTTCATAGTATATCCCCAGTACTTTAATAATCTTGCTCCTTTTATTTAGACTTTTAATTCAGATAACCTGATATATGTCCCTTATTTTTTTTTGTTTAACGGTAGTCTAGTTAGTGTTAACAATTTCTATTTGTCTGATAGAAGGGTCTTAATTTTGGTTCACAGATTTCCAAGTTAGATAGCCTAATAACTGTATACTTTTTCTCTGCTCTAGGCAGGTATCTCCAAACCTTAGTAGATCTTTACTCTCTATTCAGGACATACCAAGCAAACTTCTATATTCGCAGTTCTCTAGATTTACATGGCCCAGGACTTATCGTAGATTTGTACTGACTAAATATCAGCTTATATGTCTTCATATAATTTATATATTGTCAAATGCCTTAGACCTTCTAGTCTTGCTAATGTGATTGTAGTTACAGATATCTTATTCTAACTGATCGATCAAATACAATTAATCATAACACAAGCAGAATTTTTGAATTTTTATTACTAATAGGATTTGAACTCTTAATCTGTTATTTGGAAGTAACAACTTGACTACTTCACTATGTTGCTATATCTTTTTATTTAAAATACTTATAAATATTCAAAAATTAAATATTTAATAAATATAAAATTTAATATTAATTGTGATAGATTAAAATAAAATTAAATTAAAATGAAATTTTTTTAATTTTTAAGAAAATTTAAAATTTTTAAAGATATTTTGGAGATTTTTTTTTAGCATTAGGGATTAGATTTAGGGTTAAGATTATTAATAAAAAAATATATATGAGTTTTATAAACTTTAAGAGTAAGCAAGAGAGATTTTTAATTTTATTTTAATCTGATTTTATTTTAATCTACAACATTAATTAAGTATTTAAAATTTTAAATACTTAAATAATATTAAATTTAAAAAAAATTATTATTTTTTTACTTCAGCAATTCTACTTTTATTTTTTATATCAGCAGTAAGTTATTGCAAGAATTCAGTTAGCTAAACCTACTATCTTGTACTAATCTACTATGTGCCTGTTCAAATAAAAATTCTCTCGATCTGTTTCATTATCGCAGTAAAATTTCAGCAAGCCAAAATCTTATGCTAGAGTATGACCCAGAAGCGACCTGCCTAAGTGACAATTTTTCTTCTTTCAGGATCCTTAACTTTTTGAGAATATAACTCCTGAATATTAACAGATAGTAATTACCAACCTTGTTAGAATTACTGCTCTACAATAGAGTACCACCAATCTGATGACACTTTCTTGTAGAGAAGTAAAAAAGAAAAAAAAGAGGTAAGGATAAAATAAAAATAGAGAAAGTAAAAAAAAAATATATATAAGAAAATGACCAAACTATAAAGGAATCTAAAAAACTATTCTAAAATTTAGAAGAACTTATCTACAGATATAAAAACCTGCTAACCAGGTGAAAAACTATCTACATAGTCTAAGAAATCATTAATGGTAAAAATATTACGTATAATAAATAAATAAACATTTATGCATGCTTTATTCCGGAATATACAA